TCATTCATATATTTAATTCATTCATTCAATCATTCACTTATTTATTCATTCATTTATATTTTTCAGTAGTTCATTTGTTCATTAATTAATTAGTTCATGTATGTATGTACAGATGTATGTCTGTATGTATGTAGAGTGTGTGTGTGTTTGTGTCTGTGTGCATGCTGAATGTCTGCAGTTGTGTGTGTTTCTGTATGTGTATGTGTGTCTCTGTCTCTATGTGTGTGAGTATCTGTGTGCCCATATCAGTTTGTGTGCATTCATGTGTGTGCCTGTATGTTTGTGTGTGTCAGAGTGTTTGTGAGGTTATGCGTTCTGAATGTTTGTCAATTGTGTGTGTGTGCGTGCGCGGTGAATGTCTATCATTTGTGCTGAATGTCTGTCAGGTGTGTGTGTGTGTGCTGCTGCTCTATGTTTAGCGCTGTGGGTCAGGGATGCTCCTCTTCTCTCAGTGTTTCTGCATGTGCTGAGAGGGAAAATAGAGTGAACAGCTGCAGATCTGCATGTCTTTCCCCCACAGATCACGCTTTCAAAGTAGAGTCTCACTCATTACTGTAGGACAGATCCTGAACCCTGGACCCGCGCCAGCCAACACTGATGCACAAACACATTTGAACAAAACCAAAGGGAAATCACTGTTGTTCAGGCACGGCTGTGGAGGAGTTATGTGTGTGGATTCAGGAGTCTGATAAGCTAATACTGAGTAAGTGCTGTTGGATTGTGTGTTGCGTTATAATGTTATTGTGCTCATGCATTTGATAAACACTGGCACTGTGGCTTCACAGCAAGATGGTTGCTGGTATGAGTCCTGGCTAGACCAGTTAGCATTTCTATGTGGAGTTTGCATGTTCCTCCTGTGTTGGCGTGGGTTTCCTCCCGGTGCTCTGGTTTCCCCCACAGTCCAAACACATGCACTATAGGGGAATTGATGAACTAAATTGGCCGTAATGTATGAGTGTGTGTGAGAGAATAAGTGTGTATGGGTGTTTTCAAGTGCTGGAAGGGCATCCGCTATGTAAAATATATGCCAGAGTAGTTGGGGGTTCATTCCACTGTGGTGACCCCTAATAAATAAGGGACTTAGCCAAAAGGAAAGTGAATAAATGAATATACAGTATATTGATGTTGATTTATCTGTTGCTTACCCGTATGTTTACATTTTTGTTTACTTTAATTCAACACTTTTGACCAACGAATATGTCCAACAGCTGATCATATTTATTTTAACCATGTGTTTAGTTTGTTTGATAATTATAGACAAAAATGTATAGTCATATTTGATTGGAAATGTTTTGTCTGTGGTTTCTTGGATGATTCAGTTTCGTTTATTTAATTATTTTTATATTAATCTGCATCAGATAGTGAAGATCCATCAACCGCTAGCTTGTGAAACAGGTTGTAATCTGTTTTGTGGGAACAGGTGAAGCTGAATGAACCTAATATTGTTAAATAAAGGCAGATTATGTATTGATGTAGCGGCACTGTGGTGCAGCGGTTAGCACTGTGGCCTCACAGTAAGAAGGTTGCTTGTTCGAGTCCCGGGTGGGTCAGTTGGCGTTTCTGTGTGGAGTTTGCATGTTATCTCCGTGTTGACGTGGGTTTCCTCCGGGTGCTCCGGTTTCCCCCACGGTCCAAACACATGCGCTATAGGGGAATTGATGAACTAAGTTGGCTGTAGTGTATGAGTGTGTGTGGGAATGAGTGTGCATGGGTGTTTTCCAGCACTGGGTTGCAGCTGGAAGGGCATCTGCTTTATAAAACATATGCTGGTTTAGTTATTAATATTATTATTTTTATTATTATTGGAATTATTTGTCTACTCATCATGTTTCTATAATTGGTTATCAGTGTGTCATTGATGAAACGTTGGTTCCATTGGTAAAATATATATTTTACATCACTGTATGAATTATACAGAGTTTTTCTTTTCTGTAAGTATGTATATATTAGAATATTGTAATATAGAATATTAATAATTGACTGTGTCAAGTTTAAAAACATAATTGATTCTGGAAGAAAACTTGTGAAATTAATAAAAAAAATAAATAAATAAAATATATATATATATATATATATATATATATATAAATATATATATATATATAAATATATATATATATATATATATATATATATATATATATATATATATATATATATATATATATATATATATATAATTGAATTACAATGCAAATAACAGATTTTCTGTAGATCTTTTTTTTTTGTTATTATTTGGCAACAATCCTGTAAAGTCCTGACAATTTGTTACCATTGCAATGAAAACCTTACAAGGTAGCATATATACAACACCAACCCAGACAATATATCACTTTTTAAGGGCACCTATTTTACCCCTTTTCATGATTTAAGATAAGTCTTTTGTGTCTTTAGAGCATGTGTGTAAAGTTTCAGCTCAAAACGCCCATCAGATTATTTATTATATCTTTCAGAATGTTGGATTTTCTGCTCTGAGCACACTGTAGCTAATTTTGTGCCCTTTGCCTTTAATGCTGGTTCTCCCCGCCCACCGTTCCTACGTGCCTGTCAAATTGTCTCTTAATCTCTGCCTCGGCTGCGTCAGATAAACAGCACAGTGACAGACATGAAGGAAGCAGATCTCACGAAAGGCTTGTGAGAAATACTACAGTAAGAACTTTCCCAATGATTATTTGATGTATTTGTTGTAGAGTTAATTCAAGCCTTTTTGTGATGACAAACTTCACACACACACACACACACACACACACACACACACACACACACACACACACACACACACACACACACACACACACACACACAGAGAGCGCACATTTATCTTTGCAATGTTTTTGCATGGCAAATGTGACAGGATACACATTAATATCCACTGCTGTATGGATATCTGGTATGTTAATGTACAAATTAAACCAGATTTAATGTCCACAAACTGGGATTGAAGTGTCTTCTTTTATAATTGTACTGATTCTATGTGTCTGTGGTGATAAAGACGATAAAATTGCTGTAATTTATTACAAACATACACTGTTTTATTATTATTTTTTATTTATTTAATATGACAGGACAGTAGAGAATTCAGACAGGAAAGCATTGGGAGCAGAGAGAGGGGAAAGATCGGCAAAGGAACTCAAGCCGGGAATCAAACTCGGGTCGCTGTGAGCACGTTGGTACTATATGTCATCACGCAGTACCACTAGGCTACTAGCGCCCACCAAACGTGCACTGTTTTAAAAACGTTTTAAGCTTGTAAAACTCATTCTTGATCTCATTTGATGATGACTGATGATCACAGAGAGCAGAACAGATCTTTTAATCCCAGTTGCTTTGCGCACATCCTGTCTTGTTGATATGATTATATGCGTTACTATGGAGACATGTTAGTACACGGTTGTCAATCAATTTAGTGGGCAGAGAAGCTGCTCTCCAGCGTCAAGTTGCAGTAGGCCTCAAAATGAAAGGGATTTGGATGGAACAAAATCAATGCCTAAAGTCTTGAATTAAAAAGCTTGTTGAATATCACAAACTGAAAAAAATAATACACCGTATTAACAAGTTCTTGCATTTTAATGACTTGAATTCCACGGTTTTTATTTTTAGTTCCTGAAATTTAACATATCTGTTTATTTAAGCTGTGAATATTTCAACGAAAAATATTTCAAATACGTTTTCATTCTTAAAAATTCAATAATTCATATTCAATTTTCAGATTTCACTTACAAAATATTCAATACCCTTTAAAAATACGATGTATAATATTCAAAAGGTCATTTTCAGTTCATTTTATTTCAGTTCAAATATTCGCTTCCATAAATTCAGTGGATCAAATTCGACTGTTAAAATTCAACATTACATCCGGGAACTGCAGGAGAAGCAATAGATTGCAGAGTGAAGATCGCCAGCTGCTCTAGCTTTCACCAGCAGGTGGAGATGGAATAATGTAAGACTTTTAACCCAGTAAACAAGCGAGAAACAGGCTAATAAAGGCAAAAAAGTAGCATTCAATTTTAAGATCAATACCTTGGACATTATAAATAATAAAAAGTATGAGTAAAATGAGTAAATGAGGGTTTAGTCATCTATATTTGCCCTTATGTAACGGAAGCCAGCTGGTGATCGCGTAAAGCTCACTCCTGATCCAGGGACAGACGTTGTTCTGCAATCCTATCGGAGCTTGTCTCCCATGCTGGCTCGTTACCTGCTCGGACCGGTGCGGTTACTTGCACATAAACCGTCTTTTGATGAATATTATGTTACACATTGTCTGTCTTTATTGACTCTTTCTTCCATAGACGCAAAGGATTATAAGAATTATTATTTAGAATATAAACGTAAGAGAAAAAGGAGAGGAAATATTATAATAATAATACAAATAGATAAACATTGACAGGGCTAAGAACAATTACAAACAAAGATTTTCAAAACCAGAGAGATTTTATGAGAATGTCACAAAACAGTTTACTTGGAAATGTTAAACAGAGTTCAGGTATGATTTAAGGTTGGTTATGGATGGGGCGTCTAATTTAAAATAATTTAACATGCGAATGCATTAAAGGAGCGTCTTCAGTTATTATTTAAGCGCAGCTATGTCAGGATTGGGATAGGTTAGACTTTAGGCATTGATTTTGTTCCATAGATTTGGATGTTTTAACATCAGGAACTTCAAAAAAGAGGCTTATTGTGTTTTTTATCACCTCAGTATGACCGTGTACACACTAAAACTTCACACAGTTCTGTCCAAACAGCTTACAAAAGAGGATTTTCATCATAGATGCCCTTTAAACTATTTAAAAATTTTATAAAAGTCAATGTTTCAAGGTTTAAAGTTGTTGGAAGATAGATCAAAAACCCACAATGCAATTAGAAAGCATGAATAAAAACCAAAAATAAAAGCATGAATCACAAAACACAGAAAACTGCTAATTTATTAAGATATTGTTATTGTAAACATTCTCACACTGTGAAATACAACTGTCCTATAATTGTGTTTTTCCCTGCAGGTGGTTTTGTGAGGGTAAAGAGTTGGAAAACAGTCCTGATATTCAGATCATCACTGATGGCGAGCGACACTCTCTGATTATAGCAGAAGCGTTTGAAGAAGACACTGGGAGATACTCCTGCTTCGCCTCCAACTTTTATGGCACAGACTCCACCTCAGCGGAAATCTACATTGAGGGTATTACAAGCATTATCATTATGTATATTAAATACCATAAGATCATCCTGCTTTAATATATACAGTATGTAACATATGCTCATTCTGAAAGCGTACCCCCGTATACATTTCTGGAGATTGTGAATTATGTAGCCAGAGGAACGTATTGGGCAGTATGACGCTGTTCCTTTTCGCGCTTACCAGCTGACCGCTTACCTCCGTGTGGATGGCTTTCCCGCTGTTACCAGTTTGTCCAGTGACTTGCTGCGTATGTCGAAGGATTTGAGAGACAGAGCAGAGTTGACCTTGACAACGGGGTTTGAGTCTGGCGAAGAACGATTCCAGAAAGCAGATAAAACAAAAACAAAAGCCAAAAAGTTAAATCAACAAGTAAAAAACAGGGTGAGAACGTGGTAAAATCTGAAAACATGGTAAAAAAAAAAACAGGCTGTCGCGAGGGCTTTTCTTTAAAATTTCTTTCGAAAACACTGTCGGTTGGGTTTAAGGGAAGTCGTTTGGCAGGTCAATCGGTGCTTTTGAAAACACTATCGGTTGGGTTTAGGGAAGGGGTTGAGTGGGGTTATCAGTAGGTCAGTCAGTTGACAGCGGCCTCTGGTGGATTCACGTGAGGACAGCAAGCGCAAATGGCATTTGCAAGAGAAATCGGAGATCTGAAAAAGCATGCACAAAACAAAACAAAAACAAGTACCTCCAGAAATGTATTTGGGGTTCTCTAGGAATGTATATCGGGGTACGTTTTCAGAATGAGCCTGGATTGTATATATGATATCAAATAAGGGTTAACACAAAAGTAAATTTACTAAATGTAATCCAAAAGTAGTCTGATTACTCTACTATGTGTAGTCTGATAATTACGTTACTGACTATATATTGTTGTTATGTAGTTTGGAATCATTAACTGATTACAATTCAAAAGTAATCCTCCCAGCTCTGCTAATCATTTAAGTCTTAAAAGTGCTTACAGCCACAATACGACATCAATTCTGCATGATTTCATTTTGTAATAGGAGCATCTTCATCGGATTCAGACGGAGAACAACATTATCCAGCGCAGTGAGTAGATTTATCAATATTATACAGCAGATATCAACAATTTATGAACACTTGATGATTTTTTTCCAGAAATAAAGTAATTTTAATTGCTCAGTTGTTTGAGGAATTTTAGTCGTGGCTATTTCATTCTGTTAGATTAAGCTTTTTATAACGTACCTATAAATATAGAAATGATGTAACTCATTAACATGTTGCCATCCACACATGCCATAATCGGTTACACTTTACTTGAAGGGGTGTTCATAAGACTGTTATTAAACCTTTATAATCATGACATGACACGTCATGATATGAATCAGATTGTATGTATGCATGTTACAACTGTTAAGTATCATTTACTCGGTTATGACATTTTAAATATAAAAACGACATTGTTTATTATGAAAACTTGACATAAACAAATACATCACAACCTGTTTTTGTCATGACAACTTGACATTGCATAGACAACAAAACTTGTCATAAATCTGCCATAAACATGTCACTTAATACCAGTTGTCATAAGCATGCATAAAGCCTCAATCACATGCATGACGTGTCATGAGTATAGAGGTTTCGTGACAGTCTTATGAACACCCCTACAAGTAAAGTGTTATGAATTATGGCATCTAAGGAATACAAAATAAGGTTTCCTTCACTCTGTGTAAATGTCATGTCATGATTATAAAGGTTTAACGACTTTTGAACACCTCTTCAAGTAAAGTGCAGAGGTGTAAAGAGCACCTGAAAACCATACTTGAGTATTAGTACATATACCTTACTGTAAAGATGACTCCATTACAAGTTACAAGTCACCAATTTTAATAAGACTTGAGTAAAAGTATTAAAGTATCTGATTTTAAAACTACTTAAGTATTTTACTCATACTGAAGGTAGGCTGAAAGAACACCAAGAAAGGTTTTATTTCCTAATATAGAAATTGAATTTAACAACTCAGTGTTTCAAAATGGCAAAGCAAAATAGATACAACAAAATAGAACAAAAAGTCTCAGTCAAACTCAAATGTCCAAAAAAGGCACAGTTATTAAAAAAAATAAAATAAAATAAAAAGTAGTAAAACGTAGTAAAATAAAATTCATAGCTGACTTTGATGTAATGTGTAGAATTGAATTCTGGTAATGTTAAATGTGGTTTCTGAAATATTGACAAAATATCAGTGTTATTGTAGTTATTTGAATTCAATATTTTTAGTTTAAGATTTTCAAATTTTTCTGAGAGATTCACATCTTAGTCTCAGAGGTAGGCATGGGACAATTACCATTTTCAAGGTATACCTTTGTTTGGAAAAGACAAGGTTTTAAAACATAAACACTTTCTGTATTACTGTTTTCTGCCGTTTTTTTGTTTTGTTGTATTTTGTTTTTAGGACAACAATATCTCAGCAGAAAAGATGCTGTTTTAATTTAAATTTAAATTTAATGAAGACCTCAGAAGTCAATAATGCATGTAGCCTGACACGTTTACTGCTCCAAAATATTTTAATGTTTCTCAAAATAAAATATATTTTGTTCAAAAGGGGTTTGTTTTATGTTTTTTACCCAGACATTTAAAAACAGTATATTTTAGAGCAGTATTCACTTTACCGTGAAACCATGATATTTTTATCCAAGGTTATCATACCGTCAGAGTCTTATATCGGACCATGCAGAGGGGGGAAATATTTTTATTTAACTATACTTATTAGCATGTCACTGCTAACTAAGCTATAATATAGTCATGTCATGTCGCAGTGGTTTTTGCCATATTAGTAACTGTATTAACTTATGGTAACATTATGGTTACAATACCATTGTAAAGTCAGACATAATTTGACTAAATTCACATTAGACTCTTACCTTAATGTGTTTTCTCACATTTGAGGATAAATTCTTAAAAGCACTTATTTTTGTGGTTCGTGGCAAACAAAGTACACACTGCACCCTAAAGATAAAGATACCGACCTGTCGTGGACAATCCCAATGTAATGAGTAACGATAATTGTCCGTTCAAATGTAGTGGAGTAAAGAGTACATATATTCAGTCAAAAATGTAGTCAAGTAGAGAGTAAAAGTTGCTTTTATTTTTGATACTCAGTACAAGTACAAAGTAGCCAAAAAAATACTTAAGTAAAGTAACGAAGTCCGTTTACTCAAGTACTTTACACCACTGGTGAAGTGATACCCAATAATCAATAATATCCTCCACCAAATCTGGTGTCAAATTTTTGCTTTGACTACTTTATACATGGACTCTTTGATGACCTGTTTGCAAACACATTCACATACTTGTTTTATTTTCAGACTTCATAAAAGATCTCAGCCCAAGCCTGCTGTGGTCTCAGTAGAAAGCAGCTCATCTCTTGAAGACACTACATCGACAGTAACAATTACCTGTGCTGAAGCTCCAGCACCTGAAGCAGTGCCATTGACTAAACTGACTCCAGACCAGCCGCTACAACCAGAAGAAACAGAACCGCAGAGCTTCGAGATTTTCAGTTCTGCAACACCTGTAGAACACCCAATAGTACCTTTTCCAGAACCTGTAATAGAACCAGCATTACCTGTTCTAGAACCTGTAAAAGAACCAACGATATCTGTTCTAGAGCCTACAATAGAACCAACTATATCTGTGCTAGAACCAACTATATCTGTTCTAGAGTCTGTAATAGAACCAGCAATATCAGTTCTAGAACCAACAATATCTCTGGCAGAACCAACAATATCTGTTCTAGAGCCTACAATAGAACCAACTGTATCTGTGCTAGAACCAACTATATCTCTTTTAGGGCCTGTAATAGAACCAGCAATATTAGCTGTAGAACCAACAATATCTGTTCTAGAATCAACTATATCTGTTCGAGAGCCTGTTATAGAACCAACCATACCTGTACTAGAACCACCAACACCAATATTGGAGGTGGAGCCCAGTCCTCCTCCATCAAGCCAGAGTATCCCTGATTTACTGTTAACATCTCAACAGAGCATTTCTGAGGTGTGAAAATGTACTAAATCTGAAGTTTTTTCTAGTTCCCTCAAATGCATTTCGTCTTACATTTCTTCCATGTGCTTTTCTTTTCAGAGTTTGAATGGCAGCAGTAGTTATGTCCAAAGCTTTGATGTAAGGCCCATGATGGCAGCTCCGGTTTTTACAAAGGTACTAAAGCACAGAGTGTCCGTATTCAGAAATATGCCTTGGTGCATAAACATTCTACATAAGGGTAACGAACAACCCAGGCTCATTGCAAATATGTACCCAGGTCTACATTTCTGCAGACAGTGGAATATGTAACCGCGAGTATGCAGTTTTTGTTTCGGCAAATCCACCAGAGGCCGCATTGTGCACTTTTTGATGATCTCAAGTTTCTCTTGGGCGTAATATAAACTTCAACCAACCAGACCAGCTTGCTGTATACTGACCTCCCGACTGACCCACCCATCACTGTCCCTAAACCCAACCGATAGTGTTTTCAAAGAATCTAGAAAAAGAAACGCCGTCGCGTTGTGTGATTTCATCACATTTTGAGCCTGTTCTTATTTTATTTAAATTTTTTGCTTTTGTTTTACCTGATTTCTGGAAACGTTCCTCGTCGGGCTCAAATAATGCTGTCACGTTCAACTCTGCTCCAAATCCCAAGTCCATCTGCATATGTGGCGAGCTATTAGGCAAACTGGTAACACCGGAGGTAATCAGTCAGCAGTATTGCGAAAAGGAACAGAAGCTGTCAGTGGTGTCATACCGCCACATAGCTTTTATTTTACAATGGAGCCAGATGTACCTCTGGGTACATAATTTGCGATCTCCAGAAATGTAGACAGGGGTACACATCCACAATGAGCCTGTGTTGGTAATGAACTAGAAATTGGTAAATTAACAATTTCTGGAAACAAAACTTGCTAATAAAAGCAGCTACCATCGACGTAGATCACACACTTCTAGTTTTTTCTGGAACATACCATCACTAAATGGAAATAAAACATCTAATGCTGGGTGTACACAAAACACGGAATTAAGTAGCATGTTTGTGTGTGTAAATTGCATACAAAGTCAGTGCAAACATTAATAGAGGTGAATGATTGACATGCAGCACAACTGATGTGCAATGCATGTGAGGAGAAAAACATCCCATGAGTAAACAAGAGCAAGTGACACATATATATCTTATATATCCGACTATAATGGCTCGTTTCCACTGACTGGTACAGTACGGTACGGTTCGGGTCGGTACGGTACTGCATAGTAATGCCCTGTCAGCAATCCTCAAAGACCTATGCCAGTCTTGATGGTAATTGATTATTGACTAAACATCACTACCATTATCCTGGGAATTGCTTAAAATCTAGTTTTTACATGCCTCCAGCATCACTAATCCAGCATTTTGTGTCTTGTTGCAGAACCTCCAGGATGTCCTGGCTCTGGAGAGTCAGTTAGTAGTTCTGGAGTGCAGAGTAAAAGGCGTCCCGTCCCCCAAGGTGGATTGGTACAGGGAGGGAATGCTTATTGACGATTCTCCAGACTTCAGGATCCTGCAGAAGAGTATGTGCAGTTTTGCCGTTCAGTGCATTTAGAGCAAATGCATGGTTGAAGAAATCTTTGCAAGAGCCTTTACTTCTAATACGGTTTCACATTTAAACTTGGTTGCTGATTGGATTTAACCACATATTTATTTATTTATTCTCCTTTCAGAACCAAGATCCATGGCAGAGTCTGGTAGGTGAACTTGATTATGTTTTGCCAAGGTCTTTATGTAATGACGCTAACCACCTAACAGTGTACTATTTATCTGATTGGTGTGGACTTCAGAGGAGATATGCACTTTGGTTATTGCTGAAGTCTTCCCAGAAGATTCTGGTACTTTTACCTGCACTGCCAGCAATAAATATGGGACAGTTTCCAGTACAGCAAATCTGAGTGTAAAAGGTATTTTTTTTAATCGGGTGTTGCATTGATTACTGTGCAGCTTTTGCAATGCAAAATGTTTAAAATTAAGACTACTTAAAATGGTTATAATGAAATCGAATCTGCTCAGGTCTAAATTTGAACAATGTTTTTTTTCCCTGTGTTAATAGGACACAATAATAACACCACCAATGCCAAGAAAACAAGTATGCTAACAGTGGAGTCCTCCCTCCCAAAGGTTCCAACAACAGATCTAATATCAACAACATTAACGCGCAAGCCAGATCTTCCCCTGGTAAACAACAAACTTCACTCCAGTATGATTTGTCTTGACCCTTTGAACTCTGGATTTAAGCAGTCATACCCTCTGGATGGTGGAACATTTCGTTCAGACTCCCTAAATACTAGTACTCTTCGCCATGACCTCAGCACTAGTCTACCTAGTCTAAACCCTATCAGCATTGGAAAATATAGCTCAGACACTCTCAGGAGTAGATTACCTCAGACAGACCCACTCGGCTTCAGTGCTTTTTCACCGAACTCAGACTTAACCCATAAGCCCCTCAGCTCTAGCACTCCACACTTTGATTCAGGAGGGTCTGGTTTTAACTCTTCTACAGATGTGACCCAAAGTCCACCCAACGGATTAGCCTCCAGTATCACTCTGAGCACCGATACCTGTCTTGAGCCATCACCAAATGCTTCAAAATCTATCCTGAGCCCTTGTATTACTAGTCCCCCACTATTAAACTCCAATAACCATCAAGAGCGACCACCTGTTAAACCCCTACCGGATCCCCCCACTTCTTGCCTCAAGACACGGCCTGAGGGTGTGCTAGGAAATCACAACGAATCCCGCTCTAGTTCTCGAGTGGGTCTCCGCGTCACATTTAAACTTCCAGAAGATGAAGAAGAGGAAGAGAAAGGCTTGTCATCCAAAGGACCACCACCGGTGTTGGCTAAGCCTAAATTGTAAGTACTATCTCCAGAGTGTTATAATGGGCTTTATGAATGGGGTGTGTTTTTAAGGCTGCCGAAAATGTTGCAGTGACTTTATCTTCAATTTTATGAGGTTTATTAAACAGCAAAGACTCTACAATCTAGTCAGTTAAATAAACCTATTCATTCATTCTGTTGTTCGAGTGTAACACGATGAAAAAAGCATTTGAATTTATGTGCCTATGTGAGCTAAGAACTGAAAACCCATACAAAATGCTGTGGTAAATTAAATGTTCATAATTTAAAGTTGTGGCATGGAATATTTCAACCCAGGCTCATTCTGAAAATGTAGTCCAGCGGACATTTCTGGAGACTGCGAAATACGTCCCGGGAGGTACATATTTGTGCAGTTTTTGCTTTTGCGAATCCGCGAGAAGCCGCTGTGTGCGCTTTTTTGTATCTCGAATGTCTCTTGCGAGTGCCTTTCGCGCCCGCGCTGTTCTCGCGTCAACCCACCAGAGGCCGCTGTCTGACTGACAGAATGATTGACTGCGCGACCTGGTTTCTGGAACCGCTCTTCCCCGGACTCAAACCCAGACGCCTTTGTCAACTCCTCCCCTCTGCATCTGAAGTCCGCCGACGCACACGATGCGCTGACCGGAAAAACTGACTGCAGCGGGAAAAACCTCCACACGGGGTAAGCGGTCAGCCGGCATGCGCGAAAGGGAATGGCGTCACACCGCCTCGTAGCTTTCGCTTAAAAAAATGAAATGCAGCCATACGTACCTCCCGGGACGTATTTCGCGGTCTCCAGATACGTCCGCTGGACTACGTTTTCAGAATGAGCCTGGGTTGGAATATTTTGTTTTAATGCAGTGATTTTTTTTCCTGGAGTGAGACCCACATTATATTGTATCTTAATCTGGTAGTTTTGATTATTGGGTTTGAACAAGGAATATCTTAAATGCAGTTTATAATTGCACAAAGGTTTACTGGAAGTGCCCAAAGTGACCTTATTAACAATTTTAATTCCCCCTGCATAGAGTGCATTTTAGAACCCTCTAAACTAAACTCAACATATTTGTTTTTTCTTTTTTGTCTTATCCTAGAGACCCATCACAGCTTCAGATCCTTCACAATCAGGTGCTGTTGGAACAGCGGCAAGACAACGTCTCTCCAAGCCTAGAGTCACAACATTTAGACGAGACTAGTTGTGAGGCCCTTCCTATTACACCAACTCAGCTCTCTGTAAATCCATTTCCATCAGCATTTCGACCAACTCCTAATGTAATGGACTCTGGTCCATTTCCACAGTTGATCCCTGCATCCATCCCTCCACCGCCTGCAGGACCTGCTCCCATATTAAAAGCCACACCTGCATCCCAATTTAGTATCTCATTACCTAATTCCATGCCCTTGCCACAGCTTACTCCATCGACAACTTTAAACATCCTCCCTTCATCACCACAGCAAAATATGGTTCCTACTACTTTTATGAACACTGATGCACCAATTACAGTTCCTTCTACTTCAATACCCCAATCAATTGTAATGCACAAGGCTGTGCCTATCTCACCCATTTTGGCTCCAATGCCAAATGTGATACCAACAACCCCAATTACTCAATCTGCAGGAGCTCCCAACATCCCTCAATCAAATGTAGGACCTTCTACTCATTTTCCCCAACTTATCATGGTACCATCCACCCAGCCAAACCTCAGTCACTTGGCCAATGTGTCACCCATCACCCCTTCCACTCATACATCACAAATAAACAGTAATCCAAACTTGCAGATGAGTGCTCCCAAAATGCAGGCATTGACAACACCTGATGTAGCATTGGTGAACAACACAAAGTTAAACAGCACCTCAGTTACGTATCCCAGTATGACTCCGCATTCTCCAAGTGTGGTTTATCCATCTCTGAGTAACATAACCTCACCACCAATGGGTAGAAACAGACCTACACCCAGTCCAATGTCTCCACCTCCTCTGACTGACACCCAACTTCCACTCCCGGGGATTATCCCAATCTCCACCCAGAGCTTCAGCTACACCAGACCAAAGGAGTTCATCGCAGCCCAGGCACTTTCTCCAATCAGGGGTCCTTCTCCAACCGAGTCTCCTGTTCCAATGCTCCATGAATTAGCTGCACAAATATTCCCAAAAACAACTCGAGATCTCACATCACCCATCAACCAGTTACCGCCATTCCCAAGAAAGTTCCCAACAAGAGTTCTGGAGGGTCCGAGTAGCCCACCATATGTGTCCTCACCACCTCTAAACCCTCCTGGATTGGTGAATTCAGTGTTTTCCTTTAGAACTCAATCACCACCTCAAGCTTCTTCACCAACGTCCAGCAGTTCCTCTCCAAGCCCCATTCAAAATCCAGTGGCTTTCCTGAGTTCTGTTCTTCCCTCATTGCCAACATCTCCTCCAACCAATGCCATGGGGCTGCCTATGAGAGCACCACCTGGGTAAGCAAGCACAGCATTTGATTATAATAGCATAGTGTGGTTTAAACAGATTGCACTGTATGCTTTACAAACAAAATGATCTTTCTAATCATTTGAGTGTATGGTTAAAAACTAGCCTTGAGTGCTATCTGTGGTTAAAAACCTTCCTAGAGCGCCATCTGCTGTTTAAAACTAGCCTAGAGTGCCATCTGCTGTTTAAAACTAACATAGAGTGCCATCTGCTGTTTAAAACTAACATAGAGTGCCATCTGCTGTTAAAAGCTAACCTAGAGCACCGTTTGCTGTTAAAAACTAACATAGAGTGCCATCTGCTGTTAAAAGCTAACCTAGAGCACCGTTTGCTGTTAAAAACTAACATAGAGTGCCATCTGCTGTTAAAAGCTAACCTAGAGCACCGTTTGCTGTTAAAAACTAACATAGAGTGCCATCTGCTGTTAAAAGCTAACCTAGAGCACCATCTGCTTTTAAAATCTAACATAGAGTGCCATCTGCTGTTAAAAACTAACCTAGAGCACCGTTTGCTGTTAAAAACTAACATAGAGTGCCATCTGCTGTTAAAAGCTAACCTAGAGCGCCATCTGCTTTTAAAATCTAACATAGAGTGCCATCTGCTGTTAAAAGCTAACATAGAGCAACATCTGCTGTTAAAAATGAACACAGTGCCATCTGTTGTTAAACATAAACATACAGCGCAATCTGCTGTTAAAAGATAGCCTAGAGCACCATCTGCTAATAAAAAATAACATAGAGTGCCATCTGCTGTTAAACGAACATAGAGCGCAATCTGCTGTTAAAAGCTAACCTAGAGCGCCATCTGCTGTTTAAAGCTAACATAGAGCGCCATCTGCTTTTAAAAACTAACATAGAGTGACATCTGCTGTTAGGAGCTAACCTAGAGTGCCACCTGCTGTTAAAAGCTAACATAGAGCGCCATCTGCTGTTAAAAATGACCATAGAGTGCAATCTGCTGTTAAAATCTAACATAGAGTGCCACCTGTTGTTAAAAGCTAACCTAGAGCGCCATCTGCTTTTAAAAAGTAACATAAAGTGCCATCTGCTGTTAAAAGCTAGCCTAGAGCGCCATCTGCTTTTAAAATCTAACATAGAGTGCCATCTACTGTTAAAAATGAACACAGTGCCATCTGCTGTTAAACATGAACATACACCGCAATCTGCTGTTAAAAGATAGCCCAGAGCACCATCTGCTATTAAAAAATAACATAGAGTGCCATTTGCTGTTAAACAAACATAGAGCGCAATCTGCTGTTAAAAGATAACCTAGAGCGCCATCTGCTGTTAAAAATTTGCCAAGAGGGCCATCTGCTGATAAAGACTAGCCTAGAGCGCAATCTGCTGTTAAAAACTAGCCTAGAGCGCCATCTGTAGGATTGTTCAATCTGACAATCTGAAAATCTAAAAAACAATTCACGAATTGTAACATGTTGAAGTTGAAACCTGAGGCTCTGGGATCATTTCTGAGTTGACCAAGTTTCTTGAACCCTTTCACATTTATTTTATTGAAAAGGGAGCCCAATCAGTCCATAATATTCTTTAAAATGTGAATGTTTATAGTGAACTTTGGTGCCAGTTCTTGATGAACCAGTGATTTTTAAGTTTAGGTTAAGTGTGCTGAATTTGCTGAATGTTGATCTCAATCTCATTGTTAACTCCATATTCAGGCCTCAAAGTGCACTGAAGAGAAGTCAGAGAGGCTCCAGGCTCATCTCCGATGATGAAATCCGTGATAGCAAAGAGCTGCTTTTACAAGATATTGAGAAGAAGTTGCAATTCAGAGACGAACCTCTTCGTTTTGGACAACAGGTTAGAAGTGCCACACATTAGGTCAAGGTGTTTTTTGTTTTTAGCTAGTGTGTACAGTTGAACAAAAAATCAAGTATTTCCCAAGTGTAGATTTTTTTTCAACACATTTCTAAACATAATAGTTTTAATTTTTGATCATTAATTTCTTATGTCTTTTCCATGATGATGATATTTTAATAGATATTTTTCAAGATGCTAGTATTGTGCTTAAAGTGACATATAAAGGCTTAACTTGATTAAAAGGGCAAGTTAGGTTAACTGTGGTTTGTTCTGTAACCAATCGAATAAATAATTATTTCTTAAGAGGGCTAATAACATTAACCTTTATTTATTTATTTTTTTATTCCATCCAGCCAAACTAAAAGAAATAAGACTTTCTCCAGGAGCAAAATATAATAGGAAACCCATTTTCTTGCTTTGTTAAACATCACTTGGGTAATATTTGAAAAATAATTACTATTATAATAATATTTTCTTCAACTGTGGGTAAATTAATACGCCACACCATTACTGAAGGTTTTATCTCAGTTTGTGATATAGTTGAGGTTTTGTTTTGTGGGCTTAGTTTTATAAAATGAAGAATAATCTTATTCCCATTGATTACATAGTATATATATATATATATATATATATATATATATATATATAAAGTGAATAGAAAAAATCATAATTACAACAGCAAATATGTTGTTTTTCCAAAACTGTTTTTTTTTTACCCAGAGTTTTTGTCTTGTTCTAGTCCAAATATTAAACAATTCTTAAATCAAGCAGCATTTTCTAGAAAAACTAAAATATATCATCTTGTTTTTAGAAATAATATTTAAAAATTAAGTGAGTTTTTCCTTCAAACAAGCTAAACAATCTGCCAATGGGGTAAGCAAAATAATCTTCTGTCAAAACAAAAACTAGAATATTTCGCTTACCCCACTGGTGGAATATTTACTGTAGCTTGTTTTAAGGAAAAAACTCACTTAATTTTGACTCATAATGTCTAAATACTAGACAATATTTTAAGCTTGTCTAGAAAATGCTCCTTGGTGTAAGAATTCTTGTAAGATTAATTTTTTGGGGTTTATCTTTTGTACTAATTAAGCTTACAAGCTTCTTTTTAATTTAGAATCTGAAGACTGAATCTAACTCCTGGTTGGCTTAAAAACAAATTAAAAAATGTCATTATACTATACTTTATATTACATTTTTTATTACATTATACACTGCATAATATAATTTTCTTGCTTATAGTTTTTCTCTTGTGTCTAGTCCAAATATCTAAAAACTCTTAAATGACAAGTGTTTTCTGGACAAGTAAAATAATGTAATATTTTCAGAAATAATGAGTGCATTTTTCCTTAAAATAAACAAAACAATCTGACAGTGGGGTAAGCGAAATAATCTTATATCAAAATGAAATATACACTCATCGGCCACTTTATTAGGTCCATCTTACTAGTACCAGGTTGGACCCACTTTGCCTTCAGAACTGCCTTAATCCTTCGTGGCAGAGATTCAACAGGGTATTGGAAATATTCCTCAGAGATTTTAGTCCATATTGACATGATAGTATCACGCAGTTGCTGCGGATTTGTCGGCTGCACATCCATGATGCCAATCTCCTATTCCACCACATACAATAGGTGCTTTATTGGATTGAGTTCTGGTGACTGTGGAGTCCAATCGAGTACAGTGAACTCATTGTCATGTTCAAGAAACCAGTCTGAGATGATTCACGTTTTATGAAATGGTGCGTTATCCTGCTGGTCATAAAGCGATGGACATGGTCAGCAGCAATACTCAGGTAGGCTGTGGCGTTGACACGATGCTCAATTGGTACTAATGGACCCAAAGTAACAAAAAAATCTCCCCCACACCATTACACCACCACCACCAGCCTGAACCGCTGATACAAGGCAGGATGGATCCATGCTTTCATGTTGTTGAGGCCAAATTCTGAGCCGAGCATCCGAATGTGTCCAGTGTCCAGTTTTGTTGAGTCTGTGTGAATTGTAGCCTCAGTTTCCTGTTCTTAGCTGACAGGAGCGGCACCCGGTGTGCTCTTCTGCTGCTGTAGCCCATCCGCCTCAAGGTTGGACGTGTTGTGTGTTCAGAGATGCTCTTCTGCAGAGCTTGGTTGTATCGAGTGCTTATTTGAGTGACTGTTGCCTTTCTATAAGCTGGAACCAGTCTGGCCATTCTCCTCTGACCTCTGGCATCAGCAAGGCATTTGCGTCCACAGAACTGCCGCTCACTGGATATTTCCTCTGTTTCAGACCATTCTCTGTAAACCCTAGAGATGGTTGTGCGTGAAAATCCAAGTAGATCAGCAGTTTCTGAAATACTCAAACCAGCCCGTCTGGCACCAACAACCACGCCACGTTCAAAGTCACTTAAATCCCCTTTTTTCCCCATTCTGATGCTTGCTTTGAACTGCAGCAGATCGTCAAGAAAAAAAAAACACTAATTTTTGACTTATTATTTCTGAAAATGAGACAATATATTTTATTTGATACTTTTTAGATATTTGGACAAGAAACAAGACAAAAAGGCATTTTTGCAGTGCATCTCTTGTGCAAATTAAGCTTACAAGCTTCATTTTGATGTGTAAACCGAAGATTGAACCTAACTCTTGGTTGGCTTAAAAATAAATGCAACAAAAAAATAAATCCTATGAATCATATATTTTAACATATTTAGTTAGGAAAAACCTTATTTAATATTAATATTTTCATTTCTGTTTGAGGACCGTTTTCACATCCTAATACATTTCATGTGTCAAATGTGCGTCCGCATCATGCACCATATTAACACGCTGGACTGTTTCTGTCAGAGTAACACATTATTTACCACACATTTGTGTTGATGTGTGACTAGTGTCTGTGTTTACATCATCGTCATTCATCCTGTCCTCCATAGAAGCCGATGTGTTTTGTGGGGGAAATGAGGCATCCGCTTGGACCAAACATTCCCACCGCAACAGTCATTAACTATGATGAGGTACAAGTGCTTGCTCTGTAGTGCATTAGCTTTAAAACAAGAAACAGGATCTTGCTCTGCTAATGCAAAGCTACTTACATTGGAAATTTTTATATATATTTTATATCTAAATTCTACAACCCAATTGAGAAAAAGTTGGACAGTATGGAAAACGCAAATAAACAAAGAAAGTAATGATTTCCAAATTTACTTTCACTTTGTATTTCATTGCAGACAATACAACAAGCATTATTTAATGTGTTCTTCATGATTTGTGTTGTTTTTTGTTTTTGTTTTTCAAAAAAGCACATACCAATTTTGGTTCTTGCAACACATTTTTAGAGCAGTTGTAACAGTAAAGCCTTTACCACTTTGTAATGTTGCCGTTCCTTTTCACAACACTTAAAAGACGTTTAGGGGCTGAAGACAGCATGTGATGAGGTGTTTCAGGTGTAATTTTGTCCCATTCTTCCTGCAAACAAGACTTAACGTGGGCAACAGTATGGGATCTTTGTTGTTGCATTTTGCACTTCAAAATGCTCCACACATTCTCTATTGGAGACAGGTCAGGACTGCAGGCAGGCCAGTCAATTTCCTCCACAGCCAGGACTTTGTAATGTGTGCAGAATGTGGGTTTTCATTGTTTTGTTGAAATATGCATGGGCGTCCCTTAAAAAGAACACAGCATACTGTGCTTCAAAATCTCCACGTACTTTTCAGCATTAATGGTGCATGACAGAAGTGCAAGTTACCTTTGCCACGGTCATCCTTTTCTTCCTTGTTCCAGAGCACACAACGTCCATTTCTCCCACAAAATACCTAAAATAAGGATTCATCTGACCATAGTACATGTTTGCACTATGTGATGGTCCATCCCAGACGCCTCCGAGCTCAGAGAAGGCGTCGGCACTTCTGGACACTGTTAACATAGGGCTTCCTTTTAGCACAGTACAGTTTTCATTACCATTTGTGGATGTGACTATGTATTGTGATTCTTGACAAAGGTTTGCCAAAGTAGTCCTGAGTCCATGTGGTGATATAGCTTATAGATGAATGATGATTCTTGATGCAGCGCCCCCTGAGGGATCGGAGATCACGGTTGTTAAGCTTAGGCTTGTGCTCTTGTCCTTTATATACTCAAATTCTTCCAGATTTTTAAAATATTTTAATGATGCACTGTTGGAGGTGAAATATCCAAATGTCTTCCTCCCTTTTTTTTTGAGGAACATTATTTTTAAACATTTCAATAATTTTCTTACATATTTGTAGGCAAACTGGTGATCCTCTGCCCATCTTTGCTCCTAAAGGACTAGACTTTTCTGGATGGTCCTTTTGTACCAAATCACCTGTTGATCAGTTTCAAATCACATCATTGTCACAACTCCTGACTCAACTTTTATTGAAATGTGTTGCAGGTCTGAATGACAGGAAAGGATGTATATTTACAAATGAAATGAAGTTGACTAGACAAAAACGTGAAATATTTTGTGTTCATATTGTCTGCAATAAAATACAAGTCCAAGTACATTTTGAAATCACTACTTTATTTTTTATTTTCATTTTCCATACTGTCCCAACTTTTTCTGATTTGGGGGTTTTATATATATATATATATATATATATACACACATACACATACACACATATATATATATGTATGTATATATATATATATATATATGTATGTATATATATATATATATATATATATATATATATATATATATATATATATATATATATATATATATATATATATATATATGTATGTATATACACACACATAAATATATATATATATATATATATATATATATATATACACATAAATATATATATATATATATATATATATATATATATATAAATAAATAAATATATATATATATATATATATATATATATATATATATATATATATATATATATATATATATATACATATATACATATATAAATATATATATTAAAGCAGGGCTGTCCAAACCTTTTTTTTATGAAGGGCCGAAAACCAAACTTGATAGAGGGCTATGGGACGAAGGTAAATATGGCCTGTTTTACATTAAAATTGCCTAGAGTAATTAACAATATTTAAAAATAACTAGAAAACACTTTTTTATATTACCTAATGCAGTATTTTTATAATACTTTTATAACAGTAAAAACAACAACAATCCCATTTATAACAGAATGGCGTTCTATGCCGAATACACGAGTATTGATTTCAACATTGTATTAAGCATTGATTTGATGTCTCGCTGATGTCTTCAGCATTGTTCTCTGTCCAGTATTTACAGTATTTTTGAAAATCAGAATTAATTTACAACATTTAATTGAAACATTTAATTTTAGTTTGCCTTTTTGCAGCTCAAGAAATAAAACAAACAATCAAAAAAGGTTATGTTGAATTAGTAATGATGAAAGAATTCGCCCCACTCTCTTCTCTGATTGGATGGTGGGCCAAATCAAATGTACCATGTGCCAACTTTGGCCCCTAGTTTGTGCATCTCTGTATTAAAGTGTTATATACTGTTTATTTTATAGTATTTACAACCAATTTTTTAATGCATGATCAAGGTAGTGTTAACTATAGTGAATTGATAAAGTGTAATAAATAGAACTGCATGGATGATAATAATAATAAGCGTCTTTAGAGGAATGTGCAGCACATTTCATGTTATGTGACACTTATAGTGCACTGTAAAAATGTTTGTTAATTAACATTTTTCATATTTTGTAATTCACAAGTGTTTAATTCCGGTTGTGAACTGCATTATGGGATGTTGATCTCTGCTCTGTTGAATTTTGATGCTGAAATTTCAACTCTACAGTTAACAAAGTGACTTTTATTGACATTTTAGTCGTTTGAAATAATATTATAACTAATATCTTGAGAAATAAGTCTGTAAGATAACAGTAAACGTGCTGCAGTTTATTACAAGGTGTTTGTAGTGTAATATACAACACCAACCCAGACGATATAGCACTGCAGAGTATTACACATGTTCATTAAAGTCCCTTTTTCACACTTTTCAAGGTTAAAAGTTGATAAAAGAAAGATCAAGATCCCATAATGCAATTCAAAAGCAGAAATAAACAAGCAGAAATAAAAACATTAATCACAAAATACAGAAAACTGTTCATTTTTGGATATTTTTTACAGTGTGAGTTAATACGTTTTGGCATTACAATGAACATTACATTAAACTGTCTACATTTGGACTAATTTTCATAACAAGCACAGTTTCTACAGCATCTTTCTGAATGAAATGTTAATGCAAACAGTGTGTGTGAGTAAACATGAGCATCCGACTAGACAGAGACAGGAATAACCTGGGCTGTTCTGTATTATTAATAGAGGTGACAGCATTCAGAGATTTTGGCCGAGGCCCAGAACTAAAGGAGAGCTGTTACTGAGACAGAAAGGCTGAACAGGACACTTTTTAAAATGGGAAGGATTTAAAGGGGTCATATCGTACTAATTTAGTTTAGTATATTTAGTATAGTATATATAGAGAGAGTTGAAGTTTTTACCCCAGTTTCTTTTTAACAGAGAGATAACCTTTTCTACACATTTATAATCGTAACAGTTTTAATAACTCATCCCTAATAACTGATTTATTTTTTCCTTGCCATGATGACTGCACATAATATTAGACTAGATATTTTTCAAGATGCTAGTATTCAGCTTAACGTGACATTTAAAGGCTTAACTTGGTTAATTAGGGTAAAGTTAGGGTAATTAGGAAAGTCATTGTATCAGGGGCGCCTGCAGGATTTTATTCAAAGGTACGCACATATCTAGCACCACCCTGCCTCATCATCCTTTATTCTTATTTCAATCTCAAAAAACACTGATGCTTGCTGTCAAAGGCTTCATTATTTAAGGGCATTGCTGTGAGTGAGATCAAGAAAATGAAAGCACATCATTGTATCTAAATTTTAATTTACTAATCTATTTAATTTTTTATCTACTAGATAAACAAGAATAACAGATACATCCAGAGTATCTGTTGTATTACACTGCTGAAAAAAAATCGGTCAATGACAGAAAATATTCGGTTAACGCGAGCTCTAGATACATCTGAGGTGAAGTGCTTCAAAACCAGTCTCAAACTCTTTTATAAGGGTGAGAGAACTCAGAAACTGGTTGTAAGAACGAAGATGTCTGCTTATTTGTGCCAGTCTGTCAGATAAAATAGTTTAAAACACCTTGAATGTTAGCGGTTTCATGCGAGTAGGCTGCACAGACATAGGCTGGGTCTGGACGTACCCCGACTCAGATGCTGATGAGACTGCGGTCTCCACCCCATGTGGGGAAGCAATATTTCTCTTATTAGTTTTAGGCCTTTTGGCAAATGTCTAGTTTAGCTGTTTTAAAGAGCGTTTACTCTTTAAATTACTTAATTTTTAGTGTGCGGAAAAACCGCCAGCGAAACTAAAGCAATAGATTTCTTTACCCATCTCCCGCCATGCAAGTCCATACACACTTTAAAACACACAAACGTACACCTTTATTTATTCTCATTCTTTCTTGCTTCGTCAATATATTGTAGTGTATACTGTTTAATAATTAATTTGAAATATGTCTAAAATAAATTAATTAAATAAAAAGCGGCATTAATTCGCGCCCTCTCATGGTAGGTACGCATACTGGGTACAGCTGTATGGCTGCAGACGCAACTGCATTGTATAACAGTGCTTTGCTCTGTAGACAATCCAAAACTAAAATTGCTTTAGGGGGCTAATAATTTTCATCAATTTTCATCCTTTCATCCTCTAACCCTTAGAACATACTGAAGCTTGTTTTTGCCTTAAAATAGATAAATAAAATGGAAGAAAATACTTTGTTTTTCACAATTGCAAGTTAAAAACTTCTAATATAATTGTATATATTGTGCTTACGTTTGTACATTTACATGTTTGCAAATCTGTTATTTTTCTTGCAAGTGTGTGTTTATATGTTCTGCAGTTCTGACTTGTTCTCTGAATTTTGACTTTACAAGTCAGAATTACTTTTTTACACCACAAAATGACTTTTTTTCTCGCCAAATATTTAATTTCACAGATGTGCATTTAAAATAAGTACATTTGAGCTCATTCTTCATTGAAATTACAAAGAAAAAAAGAAAAATTCTAAATTATTCCATAATTATCCTGTAGCAGAAATAAGCTTCCATGTGACCATCTTGTTTTCGTAGTTATTAAACTTTTATGACATACACTGGTAATGCTTTACTGTAAGGTTCATTAGTTAATGTTAATTTATGGATTTACTAACATGAACAAACAATGAACAATAAAATTATTACAGTATTTGTTCGTTTCAGTTAATGTTAATAAAAATACAGTTGTTCATCTTTAGTTCATGTGGTCACACTTTACATTAAGGTTCATTAGTTAATGTTAATTAATGCATTTACTAACATGAACAAACAATGAACAATACATTTACTACAGTATTTATTCATGTTAGTTACCGTTAGTTAATGAAAATACAGTAGTTCATTGTTAGTTCATGTTAACTCATGGTGCATTAACTAATGTTAACAAGCATGGACTTGGATGATAATAATGCATTAGTAAATGTTCAATTATGATTAATAAATGCTGTACAAGTGTTGTTCATGATTAGTTCATGTTAGTAAATGCATTAACTAATGAACCTTATTGTAAAGTGTTACCGTTCATGTTAACTCACAGTGCATTAGCTAATGTTAACAAGCATGCATTTGGATGTTAATAATGCATCAGTAAATGTTGAAGTCTGATTAATAAATGCTGTACATGTATTGTTTATAATTAGTTTGTTAGTAAATACTTTAACTAATGAAACCTTATTGTAAAGTGTGACTAATGTTGTGTTAACTCCACAAAGCCTGTTTCGTATTGCAATTGGCTTACAATACATATTTTAAAGTTCTAACCTCACATATCATACTGTATGTCGTTGTTTAGTTGCTATTTGTGTTTTTTTAGAATTAGTTTTTAATGTTTGATTATATGTCTGTACTATGAGCTAGCGTTCTGAGGCGGAAGAAACATACGTTGCAAAAAATGCATTTCTTACTTAAAGTTTTAATCTTGTTTCCAGTCCGAATCCAAGAAGCATTTTCTAGACAACCAAAAAAAGTTTTGTTTTACCAAAATATATGCCAAAAATAAGCAAGTTTTTCTTTAAAATAAGCAAAATAATCTGACAATGGGGTAAGCAAAATAATCTTGTTTTTCATTTTTTAAATTATTATTTCTCTTACCACATTGGCAGATTATTTAGCCTTTTTTAACTGAAAACTTTCGACTCGTTATTTCTTAAAACAAGCCATTATGTTTTGCTTGTCTGAAAAAAAATGCTTCTATTAATATTTTTAGATATTTGGACAAGAAACAAGACTAAAACTCGTCAGTAAGAGAGCTTTTTTTTGCAGTGTACTGAGCTATTATTTATTTTGATGCATGAAAACAGAAGCTGCATTCATGAATCAATTAGTGTAGTTTAATCAGAATCAGAGCTTTATTGACAGATATGTTTACACAGCATGTTCAATTTTGACAAATGTATGTACAGTGTGTTACTTTATACAATATTGTATGTAATTAATAGTAATTGTGTGTTTTTTAGGAGTACAAGGTGTCGAGTTTTGAGCAAAGGCTAATGAGTGAGATTGAGTTTCGTTTGGAGAGGACTCCAGTGGAGGAGTCGGACGATGAAGTTCAACATGATGAAATTCCCACCGGAAAATGCATCGCGCCCATTTTTGACAAGAAACTCAAGCACTTCAGGGCTGTGGAAGGGATTCCCGTCACATTCACATGTAAAGTTGTGGGAATTCCTATTCCTAAAGTGAGTTTTTAAAGTACACATGGAATCAGAACTAACCACATCGATTTTGTTAGCTCACATTGCTAGTTTTGTGCTGAACAATTCATCTGTGCATGTCATTAAGAAACAAAAAACTGTCTCCCCTTGTAATCTTTAATTAAAATATGAAAATGCACTTCCGGTTTGTTTTCAGTTAAATTCTCAGATTAAGTCTGTCTGAGGTAGTGGGCGTGGCTAACATACTTAACCACGCCCCTCCCGCTGTTAGGTTTGTCAGCAAACAGAAATCGAGAGGAGGAGGAGGAGGAGGAGTCTGTTAGGCTGTAATAACTCTCCCCAAATGCTTTCCCCCACCTTTCTGAATAAAACGCCTACTTTACTACATCCAATCAGCTCGCAGTAGAAAAAAACAAGCCACGCCCACTGTTTGCTCATTCAATATTCAGTTTCTCTAGGAACTGCATCACAATATGAACAAAATAATGGTCACAGCTTCCGGTTCATGCCAGACTTTAACAGGAGGTGGTTATTATACTATTAGTGTCAGGGTTGGTGAGGGGAAATGGGGAAAAAGGAGCGAGGACTCAAGTGCAGGGAAATGGAGAATTGATTAAATAATAAAAAATAAAATAAAATGCAAATAAACTACCCCGAGAGGGAAAATATTAACAAAACAAATACATGCACAAACAAACTGGACTGGGCAGGCTGGCAAGGATCGGGACTGGAAACACGACAGGACAAGACTTCAAACGACGACATGTGATGACGAACTGGCACAGGACAGCAAACATGAGGGGTTAATAATCTGTAGGAAATTAACACAAACAGATGAACATAATTAACTAATAATGGGTTAACAAGGAGGGTGGGACAAGACAATAGACGGGAGAGTGCATGACACAAAGCGACAACACAAGCCATGCGCTTACATAAAACAAGACTAGAACACGCAGCCAATGAGAGAACTCATTAACCAATCGTTCATAACACCTGTAAACAAGCACCACGTGCTAAACACAACATCAACAGAAGACTGAACGAAAGACACGAGTACACGGTGAATGAAAACACTCGCCGTGCACTCACACACGCAGCGTGCATGTTTCATCCCAGCGCCAACCAAAACTGAAACCAACTAGACTGAGACGCTGGGAATGAAACACCACGCTGCAGACAGACGAAAACACAAACACGAGTACAAGAGTGCGCATGTCTGAGGCACGCAGAGCCCGCGGCCGAATCAAGCGGCACACAGAGACACACAAAGACAGAAACAGGACGAGACAGAGCTAGTGTCCGAGCTCTGCCACCAAAACAAAAATTTACAAGACCAGAGTGGCAGAACCCTGACAATTAGATGCATCAAATGTCTAAACACGTCTTTGTTTAGGTTCAAGTTGTTGCTGCAGATGAATTATAACAAGGAAATGTGATTTAAATATCTTACAGTTAGCTAGATATTAATAATATATAATAATATGATAATTAATATGAAAATAATATAACATTTAAATAATTATATAAATAATAATATAATAATTAATATATAATTTCTAAAAACAAATTCAATTTATTTTGCCACAATGACAATACATAATATTTTTATTTATTTTGCAAGATACTAGTATTAAGCTTTATTCAGTAGCATTCAGTAGTATTAAGCCATTTTTATTCCAGCCAAACTAAAACAATTAAGATCAGAGGAAAAATATAATATGAAATACTGTAAAAAATGTCCTTGCAGTGGGAAATATTTAATAAATAGATTTAAAAATTCACAGCAGGGTGAATCATGTGTTCTTCAGCTATAAGTATATAAGTATGTCCAAACCTGTTAATGGACTTTTATTTTGTAATTTCCTCCCAGGTGTACTGGTTTAAGGATGGAAAGCAGATTTTGAAGAAGAACGAGCACTACAGGAAAATCAGAGAGGGAGATGGGACGTGCTCTTTACACATAGAAACCGTCACAAATGATGATGACGGCAATTATACAGTCATGGCAGCAAATCCACAGGTAAAAACAAGCACCATCAGAAACACTAGCTGCGTCCCAAATCGCATACTTATGCACTATTCTACGCCATTTTGTTGTTAAATAGTGTAAGTAGTGTGTTCACACTGAAAACTCTAAAAATAATAAGTGCACTTTAATTACCCGGATGATGCACTCATTCAGCCGCTAAAATGAAGTGTGTAATGATGGACACTTCACACACTCAACGACTGCAGGTTTGCTTACGTAGCGGAAGGGGCGGAGCTATCGGATGCACATGTTGAATAACTTTATTTATTTTGGATTGTGAAAGCAAAATTCTCCTACGTGAGTGATTATAGCGCCTCCCGATGGTGAATGCGGCAATACGCAGGTATTATTTGATAAATCGATCGTTTATTTCACTGATTTGGCAACCGTCAAACGTCATCAGGGAAACGGTTTAAATTTCCGCTTAGTAAAAAAAATTTGTGTGCCATTTGGGACGCCACTATATACATATACTATCCTGTTGAGTGTGTAAGTGCATAAGTACATAGTGCATGAGTGCATAGTGTATAGTGTGCCATTTGGGACGCAGCTACAGTCTTTAAAAAAAGAGCTTTTTTACTGGCCATTAGATAAAAACACTAGAGCGTTTGCCCTCTGTATGTATGAAATTTAATTCTAAATGGTCTAAAAAAAGGTCTTAAATTTGACTTGAAACCTGCAGAAAGCTGTTTTTACGTCCACAGGGTCGAATAAGCTGCTCTGGCCATTTGATTGTCCAGACGGGACCTGTGCGAAACCGTCCTGTGGTTCACTCTCAGAGGTGAGTTTTGCTCAGGTTTGAAGGGATAGTTCACCCAGAAATCAAAACGTACACATTATCTACCCTCCCTCAAGTGCTTTCAGCCCTTCATGAGTTTCTTTCTTCTGTCAAACACAAAGGAAGACATTTGATTCATTTATATTCATTAATTTTCCTTCTGCTTAATCCCCTATTTATCAGGGGTTGCCACAGCGGAATGAACCACCAACTATTCCAGGATATGTTTTATGCAGTGTATGCCCTTCCAGCCAAACACTCATACACACACTCATACACTATGGCCAATTTAGTCTGTTCAGTTCCCCTATAGCGCATGTGTTTGGACTGTGGGGGAAACCCACACCAACACATGGAGAACATGCAAACTCCACAAAGAAATGCCAACTGACCCAGCCGGGACTCGAACCAGCGTTGTTCTTGCTTTGAGGTGACAGTGCTAACTAGAGGTCTGACCTGACCAGATTTCTGCGGCGCAGGAATAAATTTCCGAATAAAGCGCGGGAGCGGTCGGTAACGGGTTTAATTTGGGACGGGAGCGGGCTGTCTAGCAATATCGCTCCTGACTCCCGAGCGAGCGAGCACGCGTATGTATGTGTGTAAATGAAATTAGCTTGTTTGTTGCTGTGTTTGTGTGTATGTGTGTGAGTGCGCACGCGCGAATGAGAGGTGTGTGTGTGCGCATGCGCGAATGACACAGAGAGAGAGCTTTGCCTGTGTTGTGTGCTTGGTGCTTATGTGTGTGTGTGTTTGTGCACGTGCGCGCGAATGAGAGAGAGAGAGGTTTGCCTGTGTGTGTGCTTGGTGCTTATGTGTGTGTGTGTGTGTGTGTGTGTGTGTGTGTGTGTGTGTGTGTGTGTGTGTGTGTGTGTGTGTGTGTGTGTGTGTGTGTTAGTGCACGCGCGTGTGCGCGAATGAGAGAGAGCTTTGCCTGTGTGTGTGCTTGGTGCTTGTGTGTGTGTGTGTGTGTGTGTGTGTGTGTGTGTGTGTGTGTGTGTGTGTGTGTGTGTGTGTGTGTGTGTGTGTGTGTGTGTGTGTGTGTGTGTGTGTGTGTGTGTGTGTGTGTGTGTGTTAGTGCACGCGCGCGAATGAGAGAGAGAGAGCTTTGCCTGTGTGTGTGTGTGCTTGGTGCTTGTGTGTGTGTGTGTGTGTGTGTATGTGTGTGTGTGTGTGTGTGTGTGTGTGTGTGTGTGTTAGTGTTAGTGCGTTAGTGCGCGCGCGCGAATGATAGAGAGAGAGCTTTGTCTGTGTGTGTGTGCTTGGTGCTTATGTGTGTGTGTGTGTGTTTATACAGACAGCTTGTTATAGGCTGTCTGGACTGTATAGCTGGTTGGTTTTTGGTTTTGTTCTCCCCCCGCTCTTTAGTGGGATCGGGCGCGGCGGGTAGAAAATTGGGCGAGTCGGGCAGCGGGACAACAAATGAATATAAGCGGGAGCGGTCGGGTTCGGGCTAAAACCTTGCAGGTGCGGGCGAGAGCGGGATTCAAAATTTTGTCCCGCGCAGATCTCTAGTGCTAACCACTGAGCCCTCATTTATATTTCACAATAAATAACACATTTCACAATAATTAACAATTGTTGTTAATAATTAAAAATGGTTATAAATCGGTCACCATTGACATCAATAGCAGATAAAACTAAATAAATTCTTTTTGTGTGCTTCATCTAAAACTCCACATCTATAATCCTCTTAGTCTATGCTGACATTATCTTCATTATCTTGGCTAATGGGCAGACGGCTGCTTCTCACTCAGGGCTGCTGTTTATGCTAATGAGGGAGAGATGGACACTAGTGGGCGGGGCTTTCCCCCTCTGATGACACGTACAAAAATCAAACTGTTATTATTAACAAATAAAAATAGAATTAATTGTTATTTACCTTTAGAGGCTGGTTATTTTCACACACTGCTGCCACACAACTGTGTTTAAACCTCTTATAAAGGTGACTTTTAGGTGATAGCTGCTCTTTTGATGTTATATTTCTGCTGTAACTCCTCATGTATTTCCTCAGGGTGCGAGCGCGTGTACAGGAAGTGGAGGGAGAGCCGACTCAAGAGCGTTTCTTCCGTCCGCACTTCCTGCAGGCTCCAGGAGACATGTTGGCTCATGAGGGACGCCTCTGTAGGCTGGACTGCAAGGTACTGCGTGATCTAAAGCAAAGCATCTAGTGCTGTGCAGTTACAATTACAATTAATCACATCCAAAATAAAAGTTTGTATTTGTGTATGTGTGTTTACGGTGTATAGTTTTTGCATATTAATGTGTGTAATGATTATGCATTTATATACGCTCAAATAAAAAAAAAGAAAATAAATATAATTTATATAATATATTTTAAATATTCATTCATTCATTTTCTTTTCGGCTTAGTCCCTTTATTAATCAGGGGTCGTTACAGCGTAATGAACCACCAACTTATCCAGCATATGTTTTACACAGCGGATGCCCTTCAAGCTGCAACCCATCACTGGGAAACCATACACTATCATTCTCACACACACACATACGCTACAGGCAATTTAGCCTACCTACCTCTGCTCAGTTGGCGTTTCTGCGTGGAGTTTGCATGTTCTCCCTGCGTTAGCGTGGGTTTTCTCAGGGTGCTCCGGTTTCCCCCACAGTCCAAACACAGTTGATACATGTGAATTGGGTAGGCTAAATTGTCCGTAGTGTATGAGTGTGTGTGGATGTTTCCCAGTGATGGGTTGCGGCTGGAAGGGCATCCGCTGCGTAAAAACGTGCTGGATAAGTTGGCGGTTCATTCCGCTGTGGTGACCCCGGATTAATAAAGGGACTAAGTTGACAGGAAAATGAATGAATGAATATACAGTTGAAGTCAGAATTATTAGACCGCTTGTTTATTTTTTACCCAATTTCTGTTTAACGGAGAGCAGATTTCTTCAACACATTTCTAATCATAATAGTTTTAATAACTCATCTCTAATAACTGATTTATTTTATCTTTGTCATGATGAAAGTAAATGATATTTGACTACAAATTCTTCAAGACACTTCTATACAGCTTAAAGTGACATTTAAAGGCTTCACTAGGTTAATTGGGTTAACTAGGCAGGTTAGGGTAATTAGGCAAGTTATTGTATAATGATGGTTTGTTCTGTAGACAGTCGAGAAAAAATATTGCTTAAAGGGGCCAATAATTTTGACCTTAAAATGGTGTTTAAAAAATTAATAACTGTAAGGATAATTCAGCAAGTCAAATAGCACATAAGTAGGCAAATAATATTGATTTCAGCAGTTTTTAATTTAAAAAAAATATTTTTTATTCCAGCCAAACTAAAAGAAACAAGACTTTCTCCATAATATATACAGTTGAAGTCAGAATTATTAGTCCCATTTGAATTTTTTTTCTTCTGTTTAAATTATTTTCTAAATTATGTTTAACATAGCAAGGAAATTTTCACAGCATGTCTGATGTCTCTGGATAAAGTCTTATTTGTTTTATTTCGGCTAGAATAAAAGCAGTTTTTAAAGCCATTTTAAGGTCAATAATATTAAGCACCTTAAGCTATATTAGTTTTGGATTGTCTTCAGAACAAACCACTGTTATACAATGACTTGCCTAATTACCCTAACTTTACCCTAATTAACATAGTTAAGCCTTCTTGTTACTGTCAGGGATGTCTGTATAAAGAACCCAAAAGCAGAGGAGTTCGATTCAATAGGGTTTTTTTAATAAAATAAGCAAAAAGAAAGTGACTCAGCATTAGCTGAGATCCCAGAGGAGATTAATAAAAAATAAATAAACTGACAACCGGACCACAGGCAATGTTCAACAATACAGGAAAAATACCAACAAAACTTAGTAGCACCACATGAAAAAGAAAAATCAGGATTAAATTAGGGCTAAATTTCAATCAAAAAATAAAGTTAGTCTTTGGTCCAGGCCTGGTAATGCAGGAGAAGGGCAATGGCAACGCAAAAGATCAACTCTCCAGTAGGGCAGACCAAATCTGGAATGGCTCCAGGGAACTGGACAGAGAACACAATGATAATACAACAGACCGACAAGAAGGCTGTAAGAAACCCAACACTCTGGCAAAAGGAGAAGCGAAACACCCTCAGATATAGGAGCAGCAATTGGCAGAAATGAAAGGCAGCTGGCAGTAACATATGAGGCTACTAATTGTTAAAGGCGATCAGCTGAGTGAAGTTACACAGCAATTTGGAGACAAATTAGAATGTTGTCAGTAAGGAAAGATAGAAAACGCTGTCAGAAAAGAAAGAGAGCAAAGTTTAAACCCGGGTTCTGACAGTTACATTTTATTATGTGCTGTCATCATGGCAATGAGAAAATAAATCAGTTATTATAAATAATTTATTAAAACTATTACGACTAGAAATGTGTTGCACAAAAATCTTCTCTCCGTTAAACAGAAATTGGTTAAAAAAATATACAAGGGAGCTAATAATTCAGGAGGGCTAATAATACATAACTCATTGGATTATGGAAAGTGTGCATAAGTTGCAGTGATATGTTGTGTGTGTTCAGGTGAGTGGACTGCCTCATCCGGAGATCATGTGGCTTCTGAACGGGAAGCCTATTTATCCAGACGTAACTCACCGGATGCTGGTGCGAGAAAACGGGATCCATTCTCTGGTGATTGACCCTCTGACGCAAGCGGATGACGGGACGTACACATGCATCGCCTCTAATAAAGCCGGACAGAGCTCATTCTGCCTCCAGCTCAAAGTCGTGGGTGAGACTCTTTACATTTCAAAAATATCAGGCTTTGGTGAATCATAATAGACCCTTTTCACAAGACAAGGTGCATTTAAAGTACACATGAAATCAAAACTAACCATATTGTTTAACTTATTTAGTCAGCTCACATTGCTAGTTTTGTTCTGAACAATTCATCTGTCATTAAGAAAAAAAAGTGTTTGCTCTTGTAATCTAAAATTAAAATCTGAAAATGTTTGTTTCCAGTTAAATTCTCAGATTAGGTCTGTCTCGGGTATTGGGCGTGGCTACCAACCTTAACCACGCCCCTTTAGCTGTCAGTTTAGACAACAAACAGAAATGGTGAGCAGAAGGAGTCTGTTAGGCTGTAATAACTTTCCCTAAACCCCTTTCTCCATCTTTCTGAATGAATCTCCTACTTTACCACATCCAATCAGCTCGCAGTAAAACTAACAAGCCACGCCCACTGTTTTCTTATTTAATATTCTCTAGGAACTGCATCACACTATCATACTACAAAAAAAATAAAATAAAAATGGTCACAGCTTCTGGTTCATGCAGACTTTAAGGCCGAGTTTTCATAATTGATAATTTCATAATTTTCATAATTGTTGGATTGCTGTTATTTTCACACTGCATGACTATATACAGTAGAAGTCAGAATTATTAGCCCCCATTTGATTTTTTTTTCTTTTTGAAATATTTTCCAAATGATGTTTAACAGAGCAAGGACATTTTCACAGTATGTCTGATAATATTTTGTCTTCTGGAGAAAGTCTTATTTGCTTTATTTCGGCTAGGATAAAAGCAGTTTTTAATTTTTTATGAATCATTTTAAGGTCAAAATTATTAACCCCTTTAAGCGATTTTTTTTTTTTTTTTTAGTCTACAGAACAAACCATCATTATACAATAACTTGCCTAATTACCCTAACCTGCCTAGTTAACCTAATTAACCTAGTTAAGCCTTTAAATGTCATTTTAAGCAATTTATGCTATTTTAAAGCTATTTTAAGCTTTAACTATTATGATTAGAAATGCGTTGAAATAATCTTTTTTTCACAGAAATTGGGGGGGGACAAACAAACAGGGGGGCTGGGCTAATAATTCTGATTTCAACTGTAGGTGTTCAATTGCTGATGTGTTCATACTGCACAGTGAATTATTTTTAGCTAAGAACTATTTTAGATTTTTTAACAATTGTGTGAGTTTCGATTCTTGAATCTTTTAATATTAAATTACATTTTTTGACATTTTATTCTCATCTTATCATATTTTGTTCAACCTTTTCTGTTTAAGAAAAAAACATGTTTTTCTTGTTGTAATAGGCTTAATCAGAAGTATGGAAATAATTGCAATGAAAAGTCTATTTAAAAAAGTGCTATAAGTGGTGTCCAAAAGTCAACCATCTAAATCTGAATATATTTTTAGAATGTGGAACATTGTAGAATTAGTTTTGTTGAATGTAGTCAAGCTTGAACACATCAGATTTTAAAAAACTCCAGCTTGAAATGAACAAAGATATGAGCATGAGATGTTTTATCCTGGTCTGCTTGTCAAACACTGAGAAGATGAATTTTACATTTTTTAATGTTTCTCTTGATTTTTCCCGTTTATTAAAAATGTGTTTAATCTTTTTTCCTCACAACATATTAATTCTGGTGTACTAGTTTTTTAAACAGTAATCTTAAAGTCCCTAGGAACTGAAAATTGCAATCCTTTTTTTTTTTCGTAATGTGACGCAATTCCTAGTGAAACTGAATACTCGATGAGAAAGCAGTGGGTGTGGCTTGCTTTGTCTACTGCAAGCTGAATGGATGTAGTAAAGTAGGCGTTTTATTCAGAAAGATGGGGAAAAGGGTTTGGGGAGAGTTATTACAGCCTAACAGACTCCTCCTCCTCCTCACCTTTTCTGTTTGTTGACACAACTGACAGCTGGAGGGGCGTGGTAAAGTATGTTAGCCCCGCCCAATACCTCAGACTGACCTAATCTGAAAATTTAACTGAAAACAAACAGGAAGTGCATTTTCAGATTTCAATTAAAGATTACAAGAGCATATTATTTTATTTGTCTTAATGACATGCACAGATGAATTGTTCAGCACAAAACTAGCAACGTGAGCTAACGAAATCAATATGCTTAGTTCTGATTTCATGTGTACTTTAAGTTATAATCTCAGTCTGCTTGTAATAACACAGAGAAGGAGATGAAGGCCGCTCCTCGTTTTGTGGAGAAATTGCAGAACACTGGGATTGCGGAGGGCGCTGCGGTACGGCTGGAGTGCAGAGTTGCAGGCATGCCACAACCCGTCATTTACTGGAAAAAAGACAACGACACCATCCCTCACTCCAGAGACAGAGTCAGGTGAGGAGGTGTCACTTTCCACAGCACACACATACACACTGACAAAAAGCATTCATTGGATGGCTCAGTGGTTAGCACTGTGGCCTCACAGCAAGAAGGTCGCTGGTTCAAGTCTCGGCTGGGTCAGTTGACATTTCTGTGTGGAGTTTGCATGTTCTCCCCGTGGTGGCGTGGGTTTCGTCGTGTGCTCCAGTTTCCCCCACAGTGCAAACACATGCACTTTAGGGGAATTGATGAACCAAATTGGTTGTGTGTGTGTGCGTGTGCGTGTGTGAATGTGTGTATGGGTGTTTTCCAGTACTGGGTTGCAGCTGGAAGAGCATCCACTGCGTAAAACATGCTGGAATAGTTGGCGGTTCATTCCACAGTGGCAACCCCTGATGAATAAGGGACTAAGTTGAAGGAAAATGAATGAATGAATGCTTCTCCTAATTTCAGATTATTTAGCTTGTTTTAAGGAAAGTCACTTAATTTTGACATATTTTGGCACTTAAGTGCAATGGTTACTGGACTAGTGAGCTCATTGAGATGCACCCATCATCATATGACCTGCCCTTATCAGTTTGCTTCGCTCCCATAGATCTCGCATGACCTTTTGGTATAGGAGGGTGGCCAGAAACACTTTTTAGTTGATCTGGGTGTTTCTCGTATGCTGTCTTACACATACTCAATTCTGATGCACTAGTTCTCACCTCTGGACCAGCTCTATCCCCTTACCAGGGTGCTCAACGGGTTCATGGGAGTATGCCCAACCAGTCCACATGTGTTTTGTGGCCTTGGAGAAGTCATTCTGTGGATGGTGCTCAGGGAGTATGGGGTCAGTGGCGATCTGTTGAGGGCCATCTCGTCCCTGTATGAACAGAGTAGGAGTCTGGTTCACATTGCCAGTAATAATGGACTCCGGCTGGGCTGCCCCTTGTCACCAATTCTATTCATTGTTTTTATGGACAGAATTTCAAGGAGCAGCCTTAGGCTGTAGGGGGTATGGTTCGGGGACCACAGTATTTCATCTCTGTCATTCGCAGATGATGTTGTTCTGTTGGCTTTATTGAACATGGACCTTCAGCATGCAGTGGGGCGGTTTGCTGCCGAGTGTGACGCGGCTGGGGTGAGAATCAGCACCTCCAAGTTTGAATCCATGGTGCTCCACTGGAAAAAGGGGGTTTGCCATTGGAGGAAAGTCCTTACCACAGGTGGAGGAGTTTCGTTTTTAAAACGCATAAGTTTTGCTACGGTTACGGCATCCGTCCACCCTACGCCGGAGTTCTCGAGCGCCGAAAACAGAGCGTTTTGAAAACGCTGGAGAGGCCGTTTTCATTCTAAATTGCTGCTGCGCTGTCTCAGTGTGGATGAAAGAAAACAGAGACATCTGAAAACGGAGGCGGGGCTGCAGACATTCGCCTCTCTGATTGGGGCTTTTCCTCATTATTAAGTAGCCCACACACAGTTCAGTCCTGCATCCTCTCCTTGTCAGTTCAGACTTCGCAAGTTTGATCAAGACTGCAATCTCAACAATAAAATGTAAACATGATTTAGGAACTGCCTATTTTCATTTTAATATTATCAACTTAACAGACAGCAGAAATGTTGAGGCGTCCTCCTGCATATATGAGCGTCATCTTCACTGTGTGGATATTTATAACAAAACAGAGCCTATAACAACTGCCTCCTTTCAATTTCAGTGAAAATACGAAACACACCCTCTCTTTTGCTGAATAATCGATAATGGCCATTATAAAAGTATAACACAATAAGTTTATACATTATTGGAAATAAAGGCAAGCGATCAGTCAATATACAGAATGTACATGGACTGATCATTAACTTATCTTTGCGCTCAGCCAAAACACGTTACCTGAGAACAAGTAATAGATTCCAATGACCAAAGTCAGGGAATATGTCGTTAGATAAAGACAACAAGATGAATGAAATATCCCGTTTAATAAATATAGTGAGATTAGATCCAGCAGGAGATGCTTGATGAGCAGTCCGACTAGCACAGCTCTCATCTGGGTAGATAGGCTGCAGCGCTTGCCTGAGAGTGTGTGTGTGTGTGGTCACGTGATGTGCGTTTTCAGCGTTTTGGTGTGGACGGAGAGCTGTTCAGAAACGCTGGGTGAAACGCGAGTGTGGACGCGGATTGTTTTCATTCTAAAATGCTGTTTTAAAACTAAAACGCACTAGTGTAAATGGGGCCTGAAGATCTTGGGTTTTTGTTCATGAGTGAGGGAAGGATGGAGTGTGAGATTGACAGGTGGATTGGTGCAGTGGCAGCTGTACTGCGGTTAATGTACCGGTCTGTTGTGGTGAAGAAGGAGCTAAGCCGAAAGGCAAAGCTCTCGATTTACCGGTCAATCTACGTTCCTACATGGTCATGAGCTTTGGGTCATGACTGAAAGGACAAGATCTCGAATACAAGCGGCCGAAATGAGTTTCCTTCGCAGGGTGGCAGAGCGCAGTTTTATGGATAGGGTGAGGAGCTCTGACACCCGGGAGGAGCTCGGAGTAGAGCCGCTGCTCCTCCACATCCAGAGAAGTCAGCTGAGGTGGCTCGGGCATCTGTTTCTGATGTCTCCTGGACGCCTACCTAGGGAGGTGTTCCAGGCATGTCCCACCGGGAGGAGGCCACGAGGAAGACCCAGGACACACTGGAGGGACTATGTCTCTCGGCTGGCCTGGGAACGCCTCGGTATCCCCCCAGAGGAGCTGGAGGAAGTGTCTGGGGAGAGGGAGGTCTGGGGTTCTCCTAATACTGCTACCCCCGCGACCCGGCCCCGGAAGAGCAGCAGAAAATGAATGAATGAGTGAATAGTACTCACCTCGCGTTGTTTTTCACATACTATATAGCCGAGAGGGATGCAATTTCAGACAGTACTATGAACACTTATATTCTGTGTGTTTGATTTCCCAGCATGCATCAGGACACCACAGGTTATGTTTGTCTGCTGATTCAACCGACCAGGAAGGAAGATGCAGGCTGGTACACGGTGTCTGCCAAGAACGAGGCGGGAATCATATCCTGCACTGCCAGACTAGACATCTATGGTGAGTACAGACATCAGATCATTTCAACTTACAACACTAATCTAAGGCAGCACGGTGGTGCAGTGGGTAGCGCTTTCACCTCACAGCAAGAAGGTCGCTAGTTCAAGCCTCGGCTGGGCCAGTTGGCATTTCTGTGTGGAGTTTGCATGTTCTCCCCATGTTTGCGTGGGTTTCCTCCGGGTGCTCCTGTTTCCCCCACAAGTCCAAACACATGCGCTATAGGGGAATTGATTAACTAAACTGGCCGTAGTATATTAGTGTGTGTGTGTGAATGAGAGTGTATGGGTGTTTCCCAGCACTGGGTTGCAGCTGGAAGGGCATCCGCTGCATGAAACATATGCTGGAATAGTTGGTACAATCTGCTGGGGTGACCCTGATGAATAAAGAACCAAGCTGAAGGGAAATGAATGAATGAATGAAAATAAAACTAACAGAACCATTAATGAAACGAGCTAAAACTAAACCGAAACTTTAAAATAGTATTAAAATAAAAGCTAATTCAAAAATGCTAACCTACAATAACCCTGGTTAATGCTGAATTAAATTAAATGGTTGTTATTTGTGTTCCTCCAGCTCAGTGGCATCAACATGTTCATCCACCAATGAAGAAGAGCAGTCTGACCGGCAGCCGCTACGCCGCTCTCACAGGTCAAGGGCTGGATATAAAATCAGCTTTCCCTATGAGTGAAAGCGGCCCACATGTGCTCTTCAGAGAGCGGGAGAGCGACGAGCTGTAGACCATCAGCCTTTCAGGACATCTACACTGTAAAAATATCCCTAAATTAGCAGTTTTCTGTGTTTTGTGATTTTTTCCCCCCCGTTTGTTTCTGCTTTTGAATTGCTTTATGGGATCTTGATCTTTCTTTCAGTAACTTTTAACATTGAAAAGTGTGACTTTTATGAACGTGTAACTGTGCATTCACACCAAAAGCGGTGAGAGCGTCTAAGGTCGCTCTGGCGACAACGCTGTCTGCCTTCAGCTCGGGCGGCGAGAGCATCAAAATTCGCTACATTGATCTCGTATTTAAAGATGCCGTTGCACAGGCCCGGATTGGCTAATCGGGAGGACCGGGAGAATTCCCGGTGGGCCGGTCTGTTTTTTGGCCGCGAGGGCCGGTGTCCCTAGCTCCAGAATCTGTTGCTCTCAGCAGTCACACTTTTTAAATTAATTTATTTATTTACTTGACCACAGTCTTTTTATTCATTATTTTACCAGCTCGTTTATCTATTTTCTCTTGATGATATAACTCAGATGAGTCACCACTCAATGTATAGCTGTTGTGGTCCAGTGGTTAGCATGTTAGGTTACGATGCTACTGACCTGGGTTTGATCCTCGTCTGAGTAATTCATTTATTTTCATTCTTATTGTTAAGACATATAATACTGTTAGGGTTGTTGAACATTTGAAGTTCTAAAGCAGCTGTTTTCTCAAAAAAAGACGTGATCGTGTAATTAGAAACTGAATTGGAAATGACCTTATTTTAATATAGTCAGTCGTGAACTGAGGTGAGCCGGTCTGAGCCTTGAAACTCCAGGGCTGAAAAGTAGTCCCACTCCGGCTCTGCCGTTGCAGCATATCATATCAGTTATATTCCAGCATAAAGCATGCTTTCTAGCGTGAAAATGTTGCGCACTTCTTTAAAAAATGTATTTAACAATGGAAGATCATGTTGGATGTGGTCTGGCTTTGTTCCACTTAATTATCCAATGTGTCCATATGTCTGAAATATCCTGAAGCAGCAATACTGTTTTGTACGGTCGCATAAGATTCCTGCTTTTTTAAATGAGCAATATCACATGAGTAGCAGTGCGATATGGCTGTATATCGGCACTGGTGGGAGGCGTGCATTTTCGTGCACCTTAGTGCCCCCACCATACAGCCATATCGCACTGCTACGAGTGTATTATTGCATTTATACAACAGTTTGACGGCATAATTGTGTATACAAAAACAAAATCAAACATGGAGGCTGCGTCCGAAACCGCATACTTCCATACTATATAGTACGCTAAAATCAGTATGCGAGCTGAGTAGTATGTCCAAATTCATAGAATTCGAAAATCAGTATGCGAAAAGAGATGCGGATGACTTACTACTTCTGGCGAGATTCTAGAGTGCGCATCCCATGCATGCTACGCTATCCCATGATGCCCCACGAGCGAATTCATGAATGGGAGTAAAGCGACGCAATTGACGCAGGTTGGTCATGTGACCGTGACAAAATGGCGGATGTAGTACGTCCGAATTCCATTCATACTTTTCACGTTCATACTGTATAGAACGTACTTTTCTAATGGCCGAGTACTAAATTTAAATTCAAATGCAGTACCTACTGAGTAGTACTCGGTTTCGGACGCAGCCGGAGAGTCTCAAAAACCCTTTTGTATGAGGAACTACTTTCTTCCGGATTCAAATCATAAGCTGACAGTTAAACAGCTGAGCAAGCATCTTTTAAACTGTAGATCTGTAGTGTCTGCTTTCTGCTGACTGTATTTGGGCGGAGTAATACCAACCCGGGCTCATTGTGGAAACGTAGCCCCGCGGACGTTTCTGCGGACCGCGAGATACGTCCCGGGAGGTATGTATTCGAGCGGTTTTTGTTTTCGCGGATCCGCGAGAGGCCGCTGTGCGCGCTTTTCGCGTCTCGGGCGCCTCTCGGGAGCACGCACTGTTTGCATCCGCATTGTTCTCGTGCGAAAAGCCGCCGGATCGGCCGACTCGCCCGCCCTCCTCTTCCTCCTCCTCCTCCCTAAACCCAAGCAACGGTTTGCAAAAGCCGTCCAGAAAAAAAAAAAAAGCAAAAGCCCTTGTCTTCGATTTCGACCGCGTTTTCGGATCCCACGAAGAGGAGGAGCGGAGCGGCGCCACACCGCCCGCATCGTTCGCTCGAAAAAAACTAAACGCGGCCGTACGTACCTCCGGCCACGTAAATCGCTTTCTCCAGAAACGTCCGCGGGGCTACGATTCCAGAATGAGCTTGGGTTGAGTAATACACAAAGGGTAAAGAGGCTGTAGGAGCTCTGATATTGCAGAATATCGCACGGCTATCAGCCAATCAGATTTGAGAGCCAGACAGAACTGTTGTATATAGATAAATATATAACATTAATGCACATCAATAAATCGGCGGTAACTTATTTAATGCATGTTCCTGTAAGAAAACATTGCAAGTAATTGAAAATCCGCCAACTGCAATAGTCAAACCCCTGGGAACAACTGTGATCGGAAGCAAAGTTCACAGGTCAGTGTCCTGTGTAAAAAAAGTGATTACTTTTTTAAAATTTATTTATTTTTTATTTTTTTGGTATGTTCAACAAGAAAGTAGACAACAGAACAAAACAAAAAGAGAAACAAAAGATTATGCCAGGGGGAATATGAATTACAAAAAACTCTTTAAATCTATCTTAAAGCAAGGTCACGGTGATGTTTACAAAATCGCATACAATACAGTCCTCTGGGTATTATAAAAAAGAGACTATACTGTAAGATTCACAGTGTTACTGATTTTAAAGCTTTAACATCGCTGGAGGTAGAGATTGTATTTAAATAATATTTCAAATCTCTACAAAAAAAAAAGAAAAAGGGGCTTTACAGACAAAAATTTGCATTTGTGTATAAAATTTTTGCTAGTCAAATAAACAGATTTATTAGAAAATATTTATCTTTAAAGCGGTGGGCTTCTTCATTCTCATTGCTTGCCGCCGAACTGCGTCATAGCTCATTATTATTAAGTTGACTTGATTTCAACTCTCCTCGACGCCCACAATGGCGGAGACGCACCGCGCTGCTCCTCGCCGCTCATTGCAATAATATCCAGCCGCAGGCGCGCAGAACCACACACGTTTTAGGCACACACAATCTGGCACACACAATCTAGGCTAACCATATATGGTTACGACGGATTTTAAAGTCATTCTTCTTGGAATCTGTCGATATATTTTGATATATATGGTAAATAAATATTGTACACAATAAACAATTGTGTTTACTTTATTTCACAAATATTGCAATCACCATTCAATATAATAGACTGAACAGTTTTCTATCAGACATCATAGATGATCAGTCATTATTATCTGACAGATACCGTTTGCTGGCCTTGCTGTACGATCTAAATTGGACAGGCTTAATTTATATAATGGATTCATTTATAATGAAGGGAAATAATAGCAAGTTATAGGCTTCTTACATGTAATAAATGTATAACACTATATTAATATTTCATTCAAGCGATTTAATAGTGTGTATCTGCCTAATTTTCTAATAACTTTTTAATTAATGTTTTCCCACATTTATTGCTGTAGTAATTTATAGTTAGTAATATATTGCTTTTAAACCAAAATTTAGCAATAGAAACAAATGAACTATTAATAATTACTAAAGAAATAATAATAAATAAATATATAACAAAGAGCTGTGACAGTTTAGTAAAAGAGAGTAGTTTATAATCAGATAATCAGTTAAGATAATCAGTTTATACCTATATTATATATTGTTTAAATAATTAACTATAGTAATTCATTTTAATGTGACACATTATTGTTGGCTTTTATATTTTAAAACAAAGTGATTTTAAACAAGTATGATAATATTAAGATCCTGAATTAGTTTATTACGCGTAATCCTACGTGACGTCTATTATGTTTTCTTTATGTATGTGGACACATGAATAAAGTCATAAGTGTCTTTAACCAATTATTTTTATTTACATAATTTGAGTTCAGAAACTGCAGAGATGCTAAAATGATCGTTATGATATAATAATAATAATAATAATGACTGAAATGGGAAACCATATTTGTGAAATTCAGTAGGTGGCGATAATGCTAAGGAGTTAGTTAGTTAGTTAGTTAGTTAGTTAGTTAGTTAGTTACCTACCATATATGGCTTGCCTAAATCATGTGTGCTAGATTGTGTGTGCCTGAAACGTGTGTGGCTCTGCAGTTCTGCAGATGGATATATCTCGCTTATTGTCGCCGGCTCTCATTGAAAATGAAGGACTTCCGGCTACTTTGACGCTCTCGCCGCTTTCGGTATGAACGTACGGTAACAGTTTGCAGTGCTATATCGTCTATGTTGGTGTTGTATATTACGCTACAAACACCTTGTAATAAACCGCAGCTGATTTTCTGTTATTTTACAGACTTATTTCTCTAGATATTATTATTTCTTATACATTATATTATTCCACACTATTAAATGCCATTAAAAGTCTCTTTGTTGAACTGTAGAGTTGAATTTTCAACATCAAAGGTGGACAGAGCAGAGATCAACATCCCATAATGCCATTCACAACCACAAACAAACACAAAACACACACTAAAACACAGAGCCTGTTCAATAACAGACATTATTTACAGTTTACAAGCTCTCATTTTCCGTCAAGAGCAGCTGAACGCGACTGTTTATTTGCACACCATTTTCCCCTTTATTTATCATCATATGTTTGTGCCACTCGAGCCATTATGCTGTTTGTTTTGGTTCACTTGTTGTCATTTTCTGACTGTGTCTATATATTAATCTCCTCTTTTTATTAGACTGTGCGCCTGTTGCATCGCCCACTGTGAACTACAGCAGGTTTTATTTAACGCACACACATACAAACACACACAATTAAATACAGTTAAATGCAAATGATTTGCCCTCCTGTGTAGTTTTAATTCTTTTTAAAATATTTCCTATGTGATGGTACAACAATAGTTTTAATAAATAATTTCTTTTATCTTTGCCGTGATGATAGTACTTAATATCTCACTTAAGATACAAGTATTTAAAGGCTTAACCAG